AGCCTGTAAAATTTCGTTTAAATATTCCAGTGGTTTCCGAAATATTAATAACTAACATTTTTTTATTAAGACTTTCACTTCAAATCACCTTGTAGATCGGAAACTAAGCGGTTTCGGAACACTGTATATATTAACGACATATACCCAAAATTACTTGCACTATCACCCCCTGCAAGAAATGTATCCACTTATCAAACACCCTGTCTAGAACGATAGAACATATAATTCTAGGAGACAGGTATGATATTATTTGAATTTAAAACTAGACGTATTAAATATAGAAGACAAAATCCAATCCATGTTAAATTAAATAAATATAATGGTTTATACTTACAGACTTTGTCTCATATAATGCTAATTTTTGTATGGAGCTGATGATTGGATAAAATATTGTGCCATTCTTAGCCATCGAAATAAGAGTTTGGACTATCAATTTACTACATATATATCCAATATAAACTAAATATTTTCAATTTAAAATACAAGTGTAAACAAATCTGACACATATAAGGTTATGTTAATACTACAAATTCCAAAGATATATTGAATTTGATTTGCTGAGAGAGGGGCATGCAAATATTGACTGATAATAAATTTTTCGTGCTTATTTCCATAGTTTACACTGGTTTTATTTCATAATGGTAATACACTATGTTTCTAAATAACTGAGTTCGATATGTCCACTAATGAGTATTACTCGTTGTTGTCTTTGCTACTTAAATCTCCTGCTGTAAGCTAAATTAAATATAATAAAAATTATCTTAAAAAATTCGTGTAATTTTTGCGAAAGGTTTAAAATGGTAATCGAGCTTCTTCGAGGCAAAATCATTGTTCTTTTGTTTTCAATCAGTTCTTCGGTAATGCCCTCATAGATCACATTTGACATCATCTCAAAATAATATTCTCAGCTCTTAGCACAGCTTTCACGAATTGAAATCTGTGAAAAGACGAAGCGTCAGTAAAGTCTAACGTAACCTTAACTGAAAAACCAAAGGCATCCTGTAGAAATTGTTAATCGTGTTTTAATAACTTTATAAACAATATGGCTGAGACAATGCAGCAAACTGTAGCTACTATGCTAAGTGGAATCGAACGGTAATTGATTTTGCAGAATATACAATTTAATTTCAAATTTATATTGGTTGGAATTATGTGTAGGTACAACCCAGATAATTTGCCCACCTTGGAGAGATATGTGGAGATGCAGTCCAAAGAGAACACCTATGATTTGGAGGCCAATCTAGCTGTGCTGAAGCTGTACCAATTTAATCCTCATAGTTTCAACATTGATATCACCTGTCAAATTTTATTGAAAGCCCTTACCAATCTACCCAACACCGATTTCATATTGTGCAAATGTTTGCTCACTGGAAATCAGGTAAAATACCATGCATTATACCTATTACCTATATTCTAAATATAAGGCCTATTTGACCAACACATTAAGGGCTTTAAGACACATCTGATAGTTATCATGCAGCGCGTGAAATGTTAAGTTTTTGAATTACACTTTTACTATCATAGTAATATAAATAATATTTTTTGTAAAACAGGACATCTGGTATTATTTCTCGGTGTGCTTACAGAAACAACTTAACATTACACACATGATGGTTAACCGTAAAAATCCTAAAAATAGAACGAATGTGCGTTTTTAATATTACTTAATTGCCTACTTTTGGATAATGCGAACATTGTTTTAGTAATGATTTGTTAATTATATTATTAATTAGTTATTATTAATTATATTAATTAGTAATGATTTGTTTAATGAATGATTTCAGTTGGCTGCTGATCCAATCAATCAGATTATTTACCTTGCTGACATTTTGGAACAATGCGACTTCCAACTTTTCTGGGCAAGAATTAGGACAACTCCAGAGTTAACTCAAAAAATTGCTGGATTTTTGGACTCTATCCGGAAATTTGTCTGCCATGTTGTGGGCATTACTTTCCAAACTATCGAGATAAGTCATTTGGCTCAACTCTTAGGTACGTTAGTTTAAATATTGTTATCCATGTATGTAAATATTTCAAGCTGCAAGCTGGCTAACAATAGGTAAAATTTGATGAAATTCTAATAAAATTTGCGTTTTTAGGTGTTATTGATGACTCAACTCTCCAGGTCTGGATTAAAAAGTATGGGTGGAAATCTGATTCAGACAACCTGGTTTTCATTTCAAATCAAGATGAAAATATTAAGACTAAGAATATCAGCGAAAAGATTGACTTTGAAAGTGTAGGACACATTATGGCTTCTTGCCGTTAAAATGAAAGAATGTTTGTCTATGTTTGGATACACATACTGTACTTTATTTTACAACTGAAGACATTTTCAACAGCAGAACATTAATATTGATCACAAATAAATGGTTGAATGTTCAGAAAAACACCGTTCTTCGTGCCTACTTACACCGACATCGGTGGCTTATTCTGACTGCACTCAGTTTGAAAGTTTACCCAATACCCCCGTAATATGGTACGCAGAGCACCATATGGGTATTAGATAGAGCACTCGATATGAGGATTAAAAGACCAAGGTGTTTAGATATCAAATAAATACATCATCAGTCAACCATCTCGTGTCCACTGCCGGACGTAGGTCTCTCTCATTCTTCTCCTCGGTCCTGGGCTGCCTGCATCCAGTTGCTGTGACAGCGTTTCAGATCATCGGTCCATCTTGTTGGTGGACGGCCTCGGCTTCGGTAGGCTTCCTGTCTCGGCCTCCACTCAAATATTCGTTTTGTGCATCTGTTGTCCGTTATCCTGCCGACATGTCCTGCCCAATTCCACTTGAGGGTTGTTGTGTTCTCTATCGCGTCTGCCCTAGCAAACTCCCGTTTGCCGTCGAATTGCTGGACAATTGCCGTTGTCTGAGAGAGATACTTAACATAACGCGTTCCATAGCCCTTTGTGCTACGCGAATTTTGTGCACTGTTTTGTTCATAAGAGTCAGGGTCTCTGATCCATAGGTCAGAACTGGCAGCACGCACTGATTTAATGTTTTCCTTTTAAGGCTTACTGGGATATCTGATTTGAAAACATAATTAAGTTTGCCGAAAGCTACCCAGGCCAATCTATTGCGGCGGTTTAGTTCGATGCTTTGGTTATTTATTCCTAGGCAAATCTTGTGTCCTAGGTATTTGTAAGACGTGGCTGCTCTAGAAATGTTTATGATTTCACTGAGTATTAGATTTGTCATAATTTGTGTTTTAAACATATTTATTTTCAGTCCTAGGGAGGAGCGGTGGACTCTGCTCAGTAAGTCTTTAGCTTCGTCTTAAGGTCCGTTATTAGCACAATATCATCCGCAAATCGAAGGTGGTTTAGATTTTCTCCATTTATATTACCTTTTTCACTCAGATTTGAGTGAAATGGTGTCTCCTTGCCGAACTCGTATAGAAAATTTGTCAGTTTGTCTATCGTCCTGTCTAATACTTGCAGTGGCGTTCCGATATATATGTTGAATGATGTTCGTATATCGGTGGCCTATACGACATTCTATTATGACTTCCAGCATTTTTCCGTGACTGATTGTGTCAAAAGCCTTTTCGTAATCCACAAATATCAGTACCAGAGGTTGTATTCAACATTCAACACACTTCTATCATATTTTTTATTGCCAATAGATGATCATTTGTTCCATATTCAGACCTAAATCCGGCCTGTTCTCGTGACTGATAGAATTCTAATTTATTTTCTAGTCTTTTTGTCAGAACTTTGGTGCATAAGTTGTAAATATTTGAGAGCAGGCCGAATGGTTTTTCTTCCAGTGGACATATTTTGTCTCAGAACTTTCAGCTCTTGCTTTCTTCAATTGTTCTTGCGATCTCTCTAGTGTTGTGCTGTCTAATGTCTTTTCGAATTTCCTTCTGTATTTCCTTAGATATTTAGGTGTTTCAATAGGTCAAAGTTTTTATCGTATTTTTGCTTTAATTTTCTTCTTTCATCCAAAAGGTTTCTGGCATTTTGACTTAATTTGTTATTTCTGTTTTTGACTACGGTATAGCATTCTTTTTCAGCCTCTTATAGCATTTACTATATTTTTGTTCATTTCTTCTATGTCTGTTTCTTCCATGTAATCTTGTGCCTCCAAATTTCGGGTCACGACCTGTTATTCCGCAATGCTCTCTGGCGACTTCCACTTATTTTTCAGAATCATTTTTGTTCTTTCCTTCTTAACATTAAAAGCGAAAATGTTTTCGCTCGGATTATTCTGTGGTCCGGCTTCCGACCGAAATTTCACTCAGTACGTACCGCTATATCCTGAATTATATCGCTTCTGTTTGTGATTATGAAGTCAATTTCGTTTTTAAACTGTTTCGTCTCATCCATGTTGCATTGCATTGGGGCTTTTTTTGAAAAAAGGAGTTTATTGCAAAAAGGTTCTCCTGATGCAAAAGTCCAAAAGTATTTCTCCCCTTTCGTTTCTCTCTCCATAACCAAAGCTTCCCAAAGCTTTTTCTGCGTTATCCTGCTTGAAACCCAGCTTAGCCAATGCTAAGTTTTGATTTGGAATTGAAACACAGTCAGGAAAGTATATACAATACTTACGTTTAAAACAAGCTTCACAAATTTTATTTTGAATAATAGCTATAGTAATAGCAAGCAATTCAGCAAATGACAAAACAGCAAAAGTGTCACAATTTTCTCATTGCTTTCCAAAGAAGCCGTTCCAACCCCTTAAGAAGAATGACGCGTAATTTGAATGACCCCGAATAATTACTGTTTTAGAAACTGGAAACATAAACGATTTGCTTTGTCCTTCTTTGCCAATCGTACTTCGACTGCCAACGTTTCGAGAATTTATCGGAACACTAGGAACACGCATTTGATCTCTTTTACTGAGTCCAGTTTTACAGTCCAAAACAAGAGTTCCTAAACAAAATACGTCAAAACACGATCGACAAGTCACTACAGCTGCATGAAATGTCGCTAATGTAAAATTGTATTGGTAAAAAATTTGGAAAGTAAAGTACGTAATGTATTTTATTGTATTGCCAATTTAACCGTGATGCTGTATGTAATGCTTCAGATGCTGTTAAAAGAATGAAATAATTAACAAATTTCAACATCCCATGAAATAAGCACTGGCCTCGAGGTGTAGAATATCCTGATGATGTTAAAATAAAAAACATTGACAGTTGAAATATATGTCGATGTATCATTTTTTCAACGTTCGTTCGTCCAATACCCAAAAATAGACCCCATTTAAAAATTACAATTATGAGTGTTAATTGTGACCTATTTACAGTACTAATTCGATTTCAAATCTGAATTATTATTATCATTTTTAAAATTGATTTTTGAACCATGATGCGTATTTGCAGATTCTTATCAACATATTTTTTAGTTTTAACTTGAAGTATTTGCTATATTGGAGTGCAATTCGGTTGTTAAGTAGATATGATTTGAAGAAAATACGGCATATTTCTCAATGCGTGAAAAATGGACAAAAATCTAATCAATCTAATAAACAAGAGCTTCACAACATGGCAAACATTTTTTGATTGATCTGGTCACGGAAGTGTAAGTGAGCAAATGCCACTGTAGATTTTTATCTAGAAGATGTTTGTCTCATCGGTCTTTGTTATTTCGAAACCATATTTAAATAAATGGCTTAAAATCACTATTTTTAACATACAAAAAGTTGCCTTGCAGCAACAATAATTTTATACAGTTTTTTACCGAAAGTAATTGAGATTATCTCGAAAAAAAACCAGAGCAAAAGTTTGCAAAAAATTATTTGAATTTCGGCGCTCTCATTGCTCTGAATATTTTTAAAGTTTCTTTACTTCTTTGTAAAATTTAAGGTCGTTCCAGTTTTAGCAAAGTTTTATGAAATCAATTCTCTATGCGAAAAAAAGGCATTATTTTCTAGTTTTCCTTAAAGATACTGACAATCTTCAGGTATTTATACACAAATTATGAAATAAATTTTATTAGAATACTCGCCTTCTTCGTCAAATTGTAAAAAGTTTGGAAATTCCTTTCCAGCTTCGAATTTGGGCCAAGAATCAAATCATTTTCTATCAAAAAACGAACAGAATGAGCGAAAGTTTATAATAAATTATTTCATAAAACTCGTCACCTCTATTCCTCTGAAGACTGTAGAGCTTGTTAAAAATTTTTTTTTTGCTGTACTTATTTTGACTGATTTTTTTGCTTTACTTCACCCACTCACAAACGCTCTATTTTTTTAAGTTTCACTTAAAAATACTAACGATCTGGAGGTCTTTTACACGAAAAATTACAAGATAAATCTATAGCTTTGTAGGAGTTTTACAAAAACTTTTCAGCCTCGAATTCGGCTACAGCGAAAACGAAAATAAATTTCTCCCGTTTTTTTTCCGAAAATCATTAAGATTTGCTCAAAAACCGATCACAAAACTAAAAGTTTTTAATCAAAAACGCAAAGAACACTATTATCTGATGATTTTCTTCTTATCTGACAATATGAGGGCCTCTCAGCTAAAAATGACTTAATTGCTTGAATGATTAACTTTGCTAGAAAATTCGCCTCATTCATCGGTTTGCTGGTAACTTTAGAAAACATTTTGCAGCTTCGAATTTGGTACAAAAACCAAATAATTTTGTTCACTTTTTACCGAAAGTAATTAAGAATATCTTGTAAAAACGGCCAGAGAGCAAAAGGTTGCAAAAAAGTTATTTGGAAAATTCGCAACCCTCATCGCTCTGAAGATGTTTCCAGTTTAAGCAAAGTCTCTATTAAGCAATTATTTCTATGCAAAAAACGTATTTTTAGTTTTTCTCAAAATACTGACAATATTCAGGTATTTTGTGTGAAAAATTTAAAATAAATTTTATTGATACACTCAGCTTTATAATTTCTTTCTGCAACCTTTTGCAGTTTCGGCTTTTAGACAAAACTCTGATCGTTTTTTTCTGGATTTTTTCCCAAAAATATTTCCTCGAACAGAACAAGGGAAAGTTTATAATCAATTATTCGAAAAACTCGTCACTTTTGTCGCTGTGCATAATTTGGTTTATTTAAATTCCGGTTTATTCACTTTTAGGTCAATATTTCTAAACAAAACTGTCTCTAGACAGAACAACGCGTTTTTTCCTAACGTTTTATTGTAAAATACTGGCAAACTGAGTCTTTTATGCAAAAAAGTTAAAAGATGGATTTTACAAGAAAAGTCGTCGTTTTTAGAGTCTTTTTCGAATACCCGTTTTACCTTTGAAGTTGGGACAAAATAGAAACAAAGTTATTTGTTTTTTTTTTTCGACAAAATTTAGGTTTTTTCAAAAAACGACCAGAGAAAGCAAAAGCATAGAATCAATATTTGGAAAACTTGTCATCCTCATCGCTCTGAATTTTTTTAAGGTTCTTCAAAATCTCCTGATTTTCCAGTTTTGGACCAAATAGTTTCAAGCAATCGTATGCGCAAATGCAATATGTTGATGGCTTTTTTTTCTTTGAATGTTAAAATTCCATCACGGGCCATGAGTTATACTCATTAACCAATGAGTTAAAACACATTAACTCAGAGAGCGGCAACAACTCAACACAGTGTTACCCAGGCCTAGAGTCGACATAACTGGGTAGGCCTGTCGAAGACGACGGACCACGTGTTATCTCTCCGCAGAAGAGGGTCTTATTAAAACCATGTCATTTATACTCATAGTATATGTTGTGATCTATAATTGTTTTTAAAAGAGGCGTACGATGCACTTCAACATCGCAAACCTCTACTGAGTTTTTGTGGCATCCTTGATATTACTATCGGAAATGACGGACAAATAAAATAAATGCAATGCGCGAATTGTTGCCAGGATAAACATCCATTTTCACGGTAAACTTTTTGCCTACAGGGGCAGGTAAAGCTTTACAAAGGACCTAAAAAAAACTATAAGCACTATTTAAAATTTTCGCACCAAAAAAAAGTCGCCACATTTTTTATGGGACCCACTTAAGGCAGTAAAATGTGAACATTTTTTGAATATTACGAGTCGCGGGTCTTTTCAAGGTTGGGGCCAGGAGATGTAGCCCCTGCTAGCCCCTCGGTTAATCCGCTCCTGTTTACCTATCATTGCGTTTATTGCGCCGCGCTAATATTTTCGCAAAATTTAAGATTAAAATATCTTGTCGAAATAAGTTTACTTGGTTTAACAGTAGCTTATCATCAAACACAGCATCATTGACTATTTATTTATTTGAAGTGTTCATCAGTTTGAACAAGGGTCGAGTGCTATGGACTCTCTTCAAAAAACAATCTTTGTTATTGCAATTTTTTGCATTCCTTGGCGACACGCAAGGGTCTATATGCCATTGAACGATTTTCGTGTTCAAAATTAAGATTTATTCTTCCTATGTATGGGGAGTTTTTAGTTGAGCTCTCTTATGCTTGAAATCAAAATCATCTGTTCACTCGATCTTCTAAAAAGCCGTGGAATGAATAGAGGTCTAAAAGCAAAACTTTTTCTGGAATTAGCAAATTTCCGCATTAACGCATATGAAAATTGGCCATCACATCTGGAATGACATGCACCCATTGATTGACTTGATTTTTTAACTTAAATTATTTATTAATTAATTGTTTAATGTTTCGGAAACGGTTCGGTGTAACGTCATTTAACAAGATTCTTTTTTGCTCACCGTCAATAAAAATTGTTAAAGCCATGAAATGATTTTGAAATACAGCCTCAACCCCTTGAATTACAGAAATAAGCAATTTGAGAAATCGTTATTCCTATATTTTGCTTTTCAAAATGTGTAGTTACCACTTATGGTTAGATACATAAAACTAGTACTTTATTATTATACATATAAGTGAAAAAAATCGTAATTATTTAAAAAAGTAATTTTTAATTAGGTACATTGTCTCGCTTTTGAAATGGTATTGTGTAAACGAATGTGATTGATAAAGGAGCAGGTCTACAATTTTGCTATTTCTGTTAGCACCTTCAGTAATCCATTTTCGGATGCGTCCATATGTTTTGAGTAATATTTTAAAAATAATTCTATCTTCTCAAGTGGACAATATCTTATCGGAAAACAATTGTCATTTAGTTCATTCTAATATAAATAAGTATCAATGAAATTTCAAAAACACTTTAGTTGGGGGTCCAGTTCACTTTATTCAGAATACGGAATACCATTTTGGTACTGAAATAAAGTCGTAAACGCTCCAGAATGAGATCTATTTTCGTATTTTTTGCGCTTGTAGTGTTTACGGTTTCTGGGGCGGCACTTTCAAAAGAAGATGATGCTTTGACTGAGGTTTTACGACGTATTGAAGCATTGGGAGACGAAGCAAATTATACCGTGGTAAGCAGAAGATATCAATGTAGAAAATTGAACTGGTTGAGTATCTAAAGTATTACTTGTCCATATTGAAATAGACACGAAATACAAAACGTGCAATTTAAAGTTTAAAAAAATCAATGACTTTATAGATTAGCCCCAATATTGAGTAGGGTTTTTCAAAGTTACGCAGTACCTTAAAGAACGTGAGATAATAATAGAAAGAATGATATTTTACTGAAAGAAAATGTACTTACAAATAGAATTAATTGCTTTCTTTGCTGTCTGTTTTTTTTTACCAATTTGGTTAGAAATTCTAATTAATGCAACTGCTTTCCATCGGGAGTGGGAAAGTGCTCCCGTACGAAGTGACTAACTGTAAATTATTTGCGTAATAATGCGTTAAAAAAATCTAACGGGCTCGTGTCTGGTAATCAAGGCGACCAAGTAACTGAGATCTAGGATGGTGCAAGCCACATTTACCATAAGCGGCGACTTGGTTAAGACCAAAGAGATAATGGTGGTATTATCGAGTACATATACCTAACATGATATAAATTATTTGTTTTGTAAGCAAAATTGTAATCCTTATCAACTCACTATAAAAAAATTGGAAACGATTAATTCTGGAGCAATGTAAATTGTTTCTTTACAACGTTGAGCAACGCTCTCATGCAATTTGATACGACATTCAAAAGTAGGAGTTCTAGCTAGAAATGCTTATATTCCAATATTAAAAGCTGTTGTTGCAAGCAAAGCTGCAAAGTCTATTTTGCATATTTTTTCTCTTAAATTGCGTTTTGATAAAGCAATTTTAGTTAATTGGTTGTTATTAATCGATTTAAAAAAACGAACCGATAGTTATGCGAATAATAAAGAGGCACTCAAGAAGCAGATGTTTGGGCAGGTATAAACTTTATGTCTGCTCGATTAAATAAAGTTGCGAAAAATTATAGATCGTAGAAAGGAAAAAAAATATATAAAAATTTCGGAATATCCTGTGGCCCAAAAAATGGATTTTACAGAGAATCTAATCTAGAACTTTATGAATTAGAACTTATCACTCATTAGCTATTTGCACGTTATTTTACGAAGGTGTATGAAATATAAACTGGACTGATTTATTTTTCCATCTGTTGATTTATTTTTCCATCTGTTGATTTATTTTACAATATTTGCAAAACGATACTATTTTTGTACATAATCTCACGCCCTGGAAACACATTTTTCCTGCGGATGGAAGCTCTTAAATTAATCGTAGAAACTCTTTGGAACTTTACGCCACCACTGGACCACATAAACTCCTCTACTGCTGCTTTGGTAGAATGCTACATAATTAGTGCTATGCCACAAAACGCTGCATTAATGCTTACATTCTTCAAAGTAAGTAGCAACTCTACTGAAAACCCATGGTAGTATGTAATATTGAGTGAAATCAACATGATTTTGAACAAGACGACTGATGCAAGTTCAAGTATGTTTGTCAAATGGTCTTTGTCCGAACGCTTCTTTGAGTTAAAAGTTGAGGTTTTCATATAAAATACAAAAATGTTGTCATGACAATGGCTATAATGTTCGCACTTATTTACACAAATAATGTCATTTTGAGCATTTAGTACATATCTTGGGTAATTAATTTCTCTTATTGAATGGATAAAACAGTTTAGGCTAAAACGCATACATTTTTTGAAAAAAAAAACCTTTTAGGTGCGTGTTTTCTTATTCGACTGTCTTGATTTACTATTTCAAAAAAAGTTTTAACATGATTTACGGACGTTTTCTAGCCAATTTTAACTTAATCGATTATAATAAAAGAGTTGTAATATGTTTTACAGAAAATGAAAGATTGTTAGTTTCGGTTTTCCCTTATATAAATACATTTTCAGGAATTCCTAATTGAATCTAATGGATATCCTGTAGAAACTCATAAAGTAACAACAACGGACGGCTACATTTTAACTCTTCATCGGATCCCTTATGGATTAACTGGAAAAAGTTCAGGAAAAGTTGCATTTCTGCAGCATGGGATTCTTTCATCTTCTGCTGATTGGTGCGTGTTGGGAGCTGGAAAGGCTTTAGGTAACAATTACTAGCGTATCACAACAGGTGCAAAAATTATTCATTTCAAATTTCATATTATCAATAGAAAGCTTGGCAAATACCCGTAAAGTGGTTTACTACAATGCGTAGGCAAGATGGTTCAAGTGCTTTAGAGAGTAATATATAAAAAAATAAGTGCTTGTACCGATCAATACACATCTGTTTTGTTAAAGGCTGTTAACTGAGGTTTTAAAGTACATACTTATCATTTAATAAACGTAAGCACTTCTGTCACATTTCGATTGAGCTTTTTCTGAACAATTTATGGTAGTGATTTGGGTGAAAAATTGACAATTTAAAATTATGGTAAGACGAAACAGCCTTTTTAAAGTGATCAAAGCATACATATTATAGAGTAGTGTTAAGCGATGAGATAATACTTTAACTATCAACATCATTATTTGGATTTCTTTTGATGACTTAACAATAACTAGGACAATTCTGTAATACTGAAAGTATAAACTAAAAATAAAATATCCAGTTCGGAATATTTACCCATCTTTACTCATTATTACTGTATTTGAATGTGTAAATGAACTTTGCAAATAACAATTGTGCCTCAATGATCAATGATGTTTTGGATTATCACTCAAAGATTGATTGATTAACCCAAGTACTCAATGTGTTAATTAAATACTTATCAGCACTTCTATTTAATTACATTTCGAAATACAAAAATGTCTTTAATAATATTTGATGCGGTGTTTTGAGAATAGTTCTACAATACTTTACTATTCATATATTTAAATAAGCAAAATACAGTTCAAAAAGCCATCCATTTTACATTACGTGTTGCAAAAGCATTTAACCTATTATTTATGGGATTCTCTCATCAGAAGTATGTACGTTTAATTCTGTATCTACATTATTCTATCTTGCCCTCATTTTGTAGATTCTGGCGCCGTGTAAAAAAGTTGGCTAAATAAAAAATTCTTCCAATTGAGTAGGCCACAATTCGTAAACTTCTTTGGCGGCATCTTTCATAGCTTTAATATTGTCTCTGTATATATTTAATATAATTTTTCTAGTTTCTCTGAAAAGGTTCAATTGGTACTTAGTCATTTTCGATTGATCTGTTTTGATTGAAATCGTTGGTATTTCATTTTTAGGGAATTCCTATTGCAAATTTTATCTTTTTTGGCATTCGGCTGATAAGGAAAAAATCCACTAGATTTTCCAATAGAAAAATATAGTTGTTTTACCCATCGAACACGTCTGCTGTTCGGGTAGAAAATGCACAAGAAATTGAAAAGCAGAAATTTTTTTACAAAAAAATTTTACACAGTAGTAAAATGAGTGTTGCAGTATTTACTTATAGCTGCAGTTCCGGGGACTGTAATAAAAAATTTATCTTCTTTCTCAACCCAAATATTTGGAGGACTGGCTCTATTTTACCTAAGTGATCATATACCTTTTTAAATATTTTGCCATTTCATTCTTGTCTTTAATTCAATTCATTGTCTTTAATCAGGACATATTTTACATCAATCTAAAATAGTGCAAATTACGTATATGCTTTAATTATTTCAAAATTCATTGCAACATTCGCTGTGGAACTTTCAAAACTTTCTCACAGATTGTTATTACCCCAGTTAACACCTAAACAAAATAGTTATGTATTTCCCTCAGCCTCCTCTAAAGCGGAGACTACGCTCAATTCAGAATATATTTTTTCTGAACAAAGAATTAATGAAAAAATGCTTGCACAAACTTCTATGCGAGACATATATGGTAAAATTGACCGTGTCGTACCATTCTTTCCACCGCAAAACGCGAAAATTATCACAGAAGTCCCCACATTTTAAATTCTTGGCTTAGATACTTTCAGAATAAGGTGCAAACGCTACATTTTTTAAATCGTAAACTTCTGTTTAAAATTTTGCATTTTCTTTAACTAAGATGTTCCCTTCTGTTATGTTCTCGCTTATAACACTATTTAAAAAAATTACAAAATTGTTATTATTTGTATTACTTACATATGTTACTGATACTTCGAAAGTGTGCGAGCAACATATGAGTCTATTTAATTTTATTGTAATTTTTCCAGCTTTTGAATTGGCTGATCAAGGATACGATGTTTGGATGGGCAATGCAAGAGGCAACTCTTGGAGTCGCGAACATGAATCACTTACAATCGACGACTCAAACTTCTGGAAATTTTCCTGGCATGAAATCGGCACAATTGATCTTCCAGCCATGATCGACTACGTCTTAGAACAAACAGGCGTTTCCGGGGTAAGAATAATCTTCACGGCAAAAGTTGCTCAAATGGGGAGAAAAAAATATTTTTGAGAAGCCAATTAATTAATAATATTAATTTAGATCCTGGTAATAATCATATAAAGCAAAGCACAAAACATTTAAAATTATTCGAAATTAACTGAATATCTAATATGGGGAAACTTACATTGTGCCTCTTTTCCTTACGGAAACATCCATACCGTGATCGTATGTCTACTATTAAAACACGCTTTAATCTCGATAAAGTGAGAATCTTTATGAGATTTACTAAATTAAAGGCGTCTCGGTTACAACTTTTGTTTTATTGTAGATAGACTCAAAGTCTAGTACATTTACATAGCAATAACAAATTAATTTTTCAAAAAGTAAAATATCCAAGTTATAATATTTAGTTTTAAACACAAACCAATAGAGAAGCAACTTGACTTTAACACTTCGTTTGCACATAAACATTAATTTAATTTAAGAAAGGCAATAACTACCTGTCAAAGCAATGCTATAGAAAAAATATATCAAAGTTTAGATGATAGAATTGCAAATTCAACTATAAATTTGCGCTTTCAAATACATCCATATAATTCTGACCCGCCAAAAGACTGGCTTGAAAAACTGAAATAAGACTCATTTAATAAGCAATAAGTAAACATTTAATAAGTTTTTACATACCTACTCGTGACAAATGAATAATGTCAATGCTTTTAGCCGACTTGGAAATTGGCAGCTTTTTGGTTCTTTTGCTGCTTTTTTTGTACATTTGCAACATTTTTCATATTTTTCAGATATACTATGCTGGACATTCTCAAGGTACAACAGTATATTACGTCCTTATGGCAACATATCCGGAGTATAATGAAAAGATCATTGTCTCAACTACACTGGCCCCAATTGGCTTTATGAGTCACATGACTAGCCCACTTCTGAAAGTTTTATCTTTCTGGACTGGCACCCTTGACGTAAGTATTGACCTACTCATTTTCATATTATTATATTTTTAACCATTGTTTTTTAAATTTGTTATATTTATACATAAATAAGTAATGGTATATGGGCCAACAGAATAAATTTACATCTATTGGGTTGCGAAAGCGGGAAGATCGCTGAGCTTCGCCACATTTTTACTAACGCATTCGTGTAAAACTTTCTCATTTATTTCATTAAATAAAAAAGGGCTGCTGTGAAAGCATTTTAACTTTGGTTCTGCTTTTGATTAGCACTTTCAAGAAATGTGATCTTTGCCGCTCCTCCTCAATCCCCAGGTTAGCACGCCTTCTGCAAATATCGGAGTTTAGGTCTTTCCTTCTTTAAACGTTTCTCTATCGTTTGTAACGGGAAATGCTGGTTTCAATCTAATATATCAGCTCTAACAATCGTAATCAGTTTAATATTGTTTCTAATGTGCCTTAGGGCACTTCTTCACTTCCAATTCTAGTAAAGCAATGTTAAGCACGCGTCGGCAGAGTCAAATTTCTAATGCCTCCAACCGTTTTCCGCAAAGCAATTTCAATGTATAAGTTTTTACCCCATTTTCCATATACCAACTGAAACGGAACAGTCTAATGACTTTAATCTGATGGGTAAACACAATTGAAGGGTTCTTCGTGTCCGAAAATTTTAAATTCTAAAAACTCCCCTTTATTCAGGTGAACACAATCTCTTATTTGAAAACTTTGCTATATGATTTACAGATCCTTTCCAACTTTTCTATCTTCTTATCTTGACCTAATTGGAATCTCTCAAATGCTTACTTTCTAATGTAAGTTGAAACTTGTCGACTGGTGTTTTTCAAATGAAAATGTATTAAGTTTGATTTTTGTCTTTTTCCGCTTTTGTATATGACTGATATTCTGATTTTAACGTAGACACTACTGGGGTTAATCGGCGTAAACGAATTTTTGCCCAATAACGACTTCATCAAATATGTGGTTGGAGACACCCTTTGTCAGGAAGACGCTATCACGCAATTCTTATGCACAAATGCTCTGTTTGCCATTTGTGGATTCAGCAGGGCCCAGATGAACACCACTTTACTGCCCATCATGACTAAATATACTCCTGCTGGAGCTTCAACCAAACAGCTTATCCATTATGGACAGGAAATTCAATCAGGTATGCATTATTTAAGACCCCAATTGTTTGAAGATTTTGGATTTTTATTATTTAATCATTCAGGATACTTCCGGCAATACGATTACGGAATTCTGTCTAACATGGCACAATATGGCCGAGTGACTCCCCCACGTTACGATGTCACTCAGATCACTGCTCCAACTTACATGATCTACAGTAAAAATGATTGGTTGTCTGCAGAGACGGATGTGAACAAACTATGCAACAAAATGGGTGATGGCTGTAAGGGAAAGATTTTGATGAGCGACTTTAAGTTTAATCATCTGGACTATATGTTTGGCATTGATGCTCCAACGTTAGTATACAGTAAGGTGATCAGTTTGTTTGGAAGATATTAAAAATAAAATTAATAATAATAAAAAACGAGAAGCTTTATTTTTGTTTTAATCGGATTTTGCCAAATAAGCTTTTAAAGCTCTGGAGCCCAATTCTCGAAACTGGGGAACGGCGTTCTCCTGAGAAAGGAGGGCTTCATAGGAGAGAGAGATTCATGGAATTTATTTGATAAAGTTGATGCCAGAGGCGCTTTCCGTGAACTTTTATCACATTGCTTCCTATGCATTCGAGAATACGATTTTCGAACCATAGTAGGAAAGCCGGGGAAGGGAACGATCACATCGGCGATGGGATTGTTCACGTTCTCTCGAACTAGAGAATCGCACTCGCACACAATAAGAAATCAAAGTTAGAGAAAGACCACTAAAAAACAAACTCAATTTGCTAGTAAATATCCCGCCGACGAAGAGCGAAAAAAAGCTGTCGACGAGTTCCAAAAACAAAAACAGTAATCAAGTTCCGTGTTAAGTAAGTGGACTCAATCTACAAGTAATGTTAATTTGGCAAGTGTCGCAGTCTCGCTAGAAGTCGCAAAAAAGCCAATCATTCACAGATGGAAAAAATTATAAACCAAACTTTTGCAAAAGTGGGATATAAATAATACAGAGATTGACAAATTTCAGATGTAATAAATAGGTTCCCGAAGGGGATAGTTGATACGACTATTTGTTCTAATATTTTTTAACTTTTACCTTGGAATTGTAGTATAAGTTAAAAAAAAATATGTGTTTTTGAGGCACATTCTATTAAACAGTGAGACCTCATGTAGTTTATAAATATCGCTGAGCAATTTACAGTATAAATTTTAATTATTATTTTTCCAATATCTCCTGCGAAAGTCCTGAAATAAGTGGCTGTATAAACAGTAAAATTGCTCAACTTATGCCAAAACAAAAACAAATTCAATAGTATGAGAAAAGAAAAAAATTGGCTCTTGCCAAAAATACATCGGCACCTTTATTTTGCTTTCACTGGATACTTACAGCATTACGCAGATTACGTTTATACGAAAACAAAGGAAAAAAATAAAACCCGTTCTAAAAATAGTGGAATTTGTTTTCGAAGACATTGGAAACCGTAGGCGGCTAATAGTCGCCAAAGTAAATATAAAACGACTCGTTGGGACTAATAACAGAAATATTGATGTTTTGAAGTTTCCGAAAAATTCTTATTTACTTACAAAAATTACTATATTTACCGAACTAAATTTACTTGAATATAAAATAAATAAATTTTTAATTAAAATAACAATGTAACAGTAACAGCTGTAAATGCATGTAGTTTTCAGAAAAATCAGTTTGCTTAAATTATTTTTGAGTCAAACATACAGCTGTGAAAAGAACATTTCGGTTTTCGACAAATCTATGAACAGGACAAACTGATAGAGCAACGGAAACATAAGGCAAGAGTAATTTTAGTAAGACTTTTATTTTTTTGATTCTCACCGTTCTAATTTCAATTTAAGTTTAATTTGCGGTTTAGGTAATTGCGATGGAAGAAGCTCATAATAACAAATAAGCCAAAGTTCTGATATGAAGTTAATAATGTCAATAAAATCTGAAAATTAGTTGACCCAGAACGCACATTATTTAATTTTTAATTAATTTATTAATTATTTAACGGCAGTGTTTCTCGATTTAAAACATTAATCTAATCTTGGAAAATACAATATCGATGCTTCGTAATTTGCTTAAAGGCGCTTCTCAAATATGCAATTGCAAATATTTCGGTTTTCATTTGTAAAGATTAGATATAATATTTCCTAGATTTATATTTTGTTATCGACCTCAATTTCCGTAATAGAATGAAGGCGTTATAGACAAATTGTTTAATAGAATAGGATCATTATTAAAGCAACACAACTAACTATAACGTACGAAACGATACTGTTAAGGGTGTTCTTTCCAGATCAACGTAATGTGTTCAACTTCATAGAGAAACAGTGTCATTAACGTAAAACAGTAAAACTTTTTAAAAAAGGAAACAAATAAAGGTAGGTTAGTAATAATAGTTTTAAGTACATTGTCCCTGCTTTACAGTTGCAACTAATATGTAATATCTGCAGCATGTCTCAGGATTTATTTCACTTAATAAATTCCAGGGACGGTTTATTATATGTTTTAACAACGTGTAATGTGGGCTGGAGATCCTGAAATAAAACTTTCACATAAAAACAGACGTTATAGCTAAATCTTAGATTAGATCAGCTGCATTTAACCGACTAGATGGGATGTAAACAGTGGCGCCAGCAAGACGCCGACTTTTCTTGGCATATTATCAATTTTAATTACTGACTTGCTATTGTATTTTTACATTACGTTTCATTGCTATGGACATATCAGTCAAGGCTTGTTTTCCATGTATTCATGCGTGTTGCATCGGGAAAGCGAATGATGGTGAGATAATCGACATATGCACGTCAGGGATAAAACATTAACTTTAATGGCATGTAATGTTGATTTTATATTTTGCTAATTACTACAAAGCATTTAGCTACAACTATGTAAGTAGGAGATTTACAAAAAATTGGAGATAGAAGAAAATAAAGTAGAAGAAACCTTCAAAAAGGTAAAAAGTATATTTATGGATATGGAAGGAACAAGTTCAACAAACCTCACAGTGCCAGAAGTTAAAAGTTTTCTAATAACAATTTTCTCCGGGTGCATAAATCCGCGAAAGGTTTGGTGGGGATCTGGTAGATATTGAGCAATTTCAGATCTAATGATGAAGAGAGATCTAATCTAATAAAATATATCTTCATTCATGATTGCTTTGATTGATAATAGTCGCATGAGAATCTACTATAACAGTTCCATTAGCATCCTGTATCGTATAACCCAGGGTAAAAACTACCATTCTGTATAGGAACTAAGAGTGCGTGTCAGATCTCACCTTGACCTCTGTTTTCAGCTTGTTTGCTGGTTATAACGAGATATGTTAAAACTCTTTACGTACATTAAAAATATTGTACACAATGAAAATATTGATCGGCCTAAGACGGCCTTGTCTACGTGACTGCAGTCATGAATTGTTAGCTTTTTCTGGAACTCTATGCGTTGTGAATGCGAATATATAATGAAATTATCTTGGCTACTTATTTGGGATGTGCTTAGAAAAAGTCACGTGAAAGGCTTCGGCTTGTGGAAATAAGTTTTCTTTTATAAAAAAAATATTTTGTCAATTATACCTGCCAAGTTCTGCATTTTAGTATATAATTATTGGGTATTAGTTTATACAAATTAACTTTGACTCAACGGAACTTTGAATGTCAATGATAAATATTAAATGAAAATAAAGCCAGTCTGCAAATGTAACGAACTAAACTCACATTCTCTTTTACCTTTGGTAAGAAGCCGCTTTATATATCCAAAAACACACATGTGGCGGAATACCAAAATTTGACATTAATTGGTTTTTCTGATAGTTTTGAACTTTTACAGTTCTTGCAGGCACCAAGAAATCCAACCCTTAATACAGCTTAATTTCTGACCGTTCCAATTTGTGGCAGGTCGAACAAACTTTGCAAACAAAATATGAAACAAAATCCAAATAAAAAAATCTAAAAGTAGTAGTAAGTTATTTAGTAGAAAGTTGCTTTTAGAAATGAATAAGGGCTAGTGGAAAACTGATCTCGAGTCTAGGGCAAACTTTCAGGGTAATTATCAGAATTATATTAGTGCTTCCTTGATAAAGGAGCTTTCTTGATAAAAAGCTTGAATAAATTAAAAATAGATAGTAAAGTGTGGAAATTACATTTGCACCAAAGCTCTAATCAAATGGGCAAAAGGAAATAGCAAGAATAAGAGCCGAAATAAGTCGCATAATAAAAACTAAGGAAAGAATGAGGAATTCTTGACACTAACAAAAAGCAAAGTGTATGAAAGAATTGCTGGCGGAAAAAAGATTGATACAGTACCTACTACTAATAGTTTAGAAACAAGTATTTTTGTCTAAAAGCTGCTGTTTGTCCAGACATTTCAGTACTTACACAACCAAAACAAGTATTTATACAGGTAATGGTTTGGAAGGTTATATTTTAAAACTGAATCCATCTGGAAATTGAAAACTTAATTGAATTTGTTAAAAACCTTCCATCTAATCTTCCGTCTTCCATCTAATTAGCACCAGATCTCGCCAAGTAATACATTGGTTAATGTATTTTTGAACATTTGCCTTCCCTCAGGTGATTTTATTGTCATTGTTGAATAATTAATTGACAAAATTACTCATCATAAACCGCAAACGAATTCCAGCTTTAACCCTTCTGGTAAATGGTAATGAAATACCTGTTTAAAATTAATTTTAATCAAGCAAGCTTAAAGAGTGAAGCTTTGCGACAGTCAACAATATTATTTCTAAACGAAGACTCGAAGAGAAACGAGAAGAAGAAATCTAAGTTACAATAAGTCGAGCTTAATACAATGAATATTATAACTAGCTTTAATTACATCTGTAATTGAATGTATCTACCTATAATCAATTTTTATATGTGCAGGTGTGTATTCTGCATAGTTCCCTGTTTCTTAAATGATATATGTTCTTTTGATTTCTAATTGTCCACAAATATAAATAAACATTCGGACAAATATTAGATGTAGCTTTCTGGTAAAGAAAATTATTTTCCTATTTTCTTTAAGTAGCACCTAATTCCGACAATTGATACATTAAAAATGATTATCATGGTAAATCTGGGGACATTTCTTAATGAGTAATTTATTACGACAGCTCACTATTTAATCCTGACTTACACAGAAGAAGAGAAAACACGAAACCTGACGTATTGGCCGGTCCATAGCCCACATACTCCATGTGCGTCATTTGGCATGTAATCAGCAAATATAAATTGAACCGACGCCCGATTTTTATTTTCTTGCGAAGATATGTGAGGAGCGTTTATCATTACCCATAAATTGACACAGCCAACGCCATAAAAAAGCGAATACAGTTTCTAATTTTAATTGGACCGTTAAATTTGAACCTACACGAAGCTCAATGATTTTCGCTTGACAAAAATGTGACCGTGTTAATTAAATTCAGCAAACAAATAAAAAATTCGTCAGTATCAATGTTGTGTACGGAGGCAAGGGCGGATCCAGGGGGGGGGTCATGGGGGTCATGAGCTCCCCCTTGTGCTGGGTTTATAACGACTAACAATACTTTTTCTAATTTCATAGACGACAAAGGACTGAATTTCTACTACTTGACACCCCCCCC